GACTAGAAGCACAAACAAGATAATGCCCAACCAAAAATATATCGTACTAATTCTGTAATGCTAAATGCATTTATCCAGGTAAGTGTTCCTTAGGAAAGACTTATTCGGGTAAGTACATTTGTCCATGTTTTTTTATTTTACATGTAAATAAAACAATGACTATTTTAGCTATAAAAATTCAATATTAAAAGGGACATTTTTGTTTCATTCAAGTGTTGACAATTTTTCTCCCAAATAAGAAAGTTATTTACCCACTTAGGAGATGGGTATTAAGGAAAATAAACTTTCTCTAATCCCCACATAAATCTGAAAAAAAAGAACACGAGTTTCTTGATCAATGGGAATTTGATTCCCAATGACCAACTTTCCACCACTTCAAATTTAGATAAAGAACGCCCCAATAGTAGAATCTCCTTGTATGACCAACTTTCCACATTTTGTATTTGTACTCTTTCCAAATTGAGTCTAATTAACAAATTAATGTCCTAGTTCATTTTATGTATAGTATAAATATATACAAGGTTTTACACTACACATTTGTATTTGTACTCCTTCCAAACTGAGCCTAAATGATCAACCAGTCAACTTGAAGAATCTAATGAAAGTTATAATTAAAATTTCTAATTTACTGACTCACAAATCAATTTTGTTAATAGTATACTCCATTTCCAATGCATATATAACAGTGTACCTGCATTATTTGTCCAATAATCTAAATAATTATTTGTAGTTTGTTTGCAGTTTAATTTTGCATTTGGGTTGGGATAATCCAAATCCAATTTTCGATTATAGTACACCATCTCAAATCTTTTGCCATCTTAATTTGAAAGCAGAATCTAACAAAAATGTGAATAATTGATAAATTAAATGTCAAAGATGATATTTTTAACATTGTTAAGTCTTTAACATGATTGATAAATACACTATGTGAGATGCGCATAAAAGAAAAGTATATAGACTATGTAACATCATTAATATAATTGTTAAGTCTTGAACTGGCCGGTTCAGTGGTTTGTTAACCAAAATCAACAGTTTTGGAGAAAAAAACAGTTTTAGAGAAAAATGAAACCAATCAGGTGATCGGTTCTCAGTTTTTTCGATCCAATCGCCGGTCTGGTCTGATTTTGAAAACCACAGAGATCTCTAACACGTTTCACCTATTTTTTTGTGTCACTATATAGAACATTTGATAGGATTCTACATGCTTCAGGTTAGAACCAATTGCTAGATGTTCAAATTAAGCCAGCTTTTTAACAAGTTTAAAATATAACTGAACTAAATATAAGAAAAAGGAGATTTATGTGTTCATCATGATCCGATCTGAATTTGTCGGATTCAGATACCCCCTCCCCCTTGTGGCATTTTCAGATAAGTCTACATCAGATAATAGGATCCGATAAAAGATCAGATCAAATTCAGATCACTCTTATGATTTTGATAAATAACACTCTTATCCTATCCTATGGAAAGAGTTTTGACCAATCAAAACCCACCCATGAATTTTGATAAATAACACCTGATTTGCTATCATATTTATGATTCCAGTTTATTGGTCAGTTGTTTTTCTAAAATCATATCTTTTCTATATCATAGTTGAACTCATATATATATATATATGTGTGTGTGTGTGTATAGTTATTTATTTGTAAATATGCTTATATTGTATTTTTATAATTTTTATATTATTTATCTTTTATAAAAAGGCATGTATATATATGATAAAAATAGTTGAAAAAATGCTTGTTTTTTTTGTTTTTCTTTATATAAACTACTATATTTTTCCCTTTTAATAATTTGTTAAATTTTATAAAAAATTAAACCAAATCGGATTATATTTGGATATCCAACATCCTTAACGGATTCAGATTCAAATTGACCTTTTTGAGATCTGATCAGATCAGATTCAAAATTTATATTATCAGATTAGATTCAGATATACCTTGGTTTGAATTTAATCCAATCCGTTTGCCTCCCTAGTAGTGGTTTGTGTTCTATACTATTTTCTTTTAGCTCTCGATAAGTATATTTGATAGACTCTATTCTTAAAATCAATATAGCATACAATGTTGTCATTAAGGTCAATTTTATGTATATATTAGTTTAAGAGCACATGCTCTGCATGTTTAAATAAATATTAACGACATATGATATAATGTATTTTCAATTTAAGTTTAATGACTTGCACGTAACCAAAGGCAAGTATCCACTTTATATGTATAGATATAGATAATGGATATATTAACAAAAAATGTGATGTAGATCAAACCCTTGTAACCTCAGGCTCAATGTGGTTAGGTAAGTGGATCGCATGTACACCCGTACTATATATGTGTTATGTCAATGAACAAGAATAAGAACAAACTTAAAATATGTGTAACAGATTTTGACATCTAATACGGTTTTGACAGTACTAATGACTAAACCAGGGGCCAATGCTCACAAGACCAAGCTGACTGAGCCCTTAAGCTATCACATATGACATGTTCAGAGGTTTAGGCAAATGAGTTCCACCATAAAGACCCATTGACTGAAAACATTAACTTGTTTTATTATCATATCCATAGAACAATTCTAACAACACAAACCTTGGCTCTATTGGCAATCACGAAATCCTTAAATCACAAAAGGACAAGCCATGATTTTGTACAGGGAGATGTTTTGTTGCTTTATCTTCTTTTCTAATAAGTTCTATGGCTTTGGATGGTTTAATACACCAGTTTTAGTTTTAAATACTATAAGACACATCCAACTCTAATGGTTAATATTGATTCTCTCAGTGCGACAACATGCATGCCATATATCCTATATGAGGCTACAAACTTAGCTAGGCTAAGATAATTGTTAATATTGACCCATTACAAAAATTGCCTGAAACAAAGAAAGCCTTACAAAGGCAACACCAATCCGGATCTGAAAACCCCAAATTAATCAGGCCCAAATTGGATTAGGGCAGTTGAGATTCGGGTTGGGCCACCCTAAATCATAAGGAGTAAGCCCGGTTATTAGGGGACAACACCTAGCCTAGTCTACGTGCCTGATTATACGAGGCCTCCATGGCTCACTTCTCAATTCAGTCCCCTTGTAGTCGTGTGTTCAGTGTCCAGTGACCTTATTTTCGGTTAAAATAGATTTGTATTTCTTATAAAAGACTTGTTAATATTAATGTTTTAAAAAATGATTCGGAATCGGAATCGTTCTGATTATCGATTTTTGGATTGATGGTTTGATCATTCGGTCCAACACAATAAATTTAAACAACGCATATAACATGGTAATCAACTTAGTCGGAAATGGGTCGACATTGACCCGTTAATTGATTAGCAAAAAATAGGTCAGTGTAGACTTATTTATCTTTATCTTCTTCGCCCAATTAGTAAAAAACGGGTTTTCCTACAGCATAAGATTTTCTCATATTTTGGATTTTCTTTTTTACATGTTTTCATACTAATCACATCTACGGTGTTTGCAGCATAGATCCAAATCGAAAACTGTTAGAGAAAATGGGGTCACTGTAACTTTGGAGGTGAAGCTCTGAGACGCATTTGAAGACACTGTCTTTAGAACGTTATTTGCCCCCACTCAGTTTTACTGAATTTGCTGTTGGGTTACAGATAAATTCGTTCCCAGGATACAACAAAGCCTTGGGCGAGAATCTACAACTCTTCAACTTTGCTGTAGTAGACCGGACTGAGAGAGAGAGAGGGAGAGTGAATTTCGAAATTGTATGTTTTGGAGTTTGATTCATGCTCCTTAAATAATTTGTGAAGAGGTATGAGGAAAAGGTAGGTGCTGGTTTAGAGAAGGCACCTTGAACAGTCACAATTTCAAACATTGTGACTATTTAAAAAGTAGTTAAACAGTTAGTGACTGTTAACTTTGAATTGTGCTTCTTGATCACACCCGATCAAATCGTGACCGTTGATCTCATCAACGGTGATCAACGGTCAACAATGCACCAAAACCAAGGTTGCCCATCGCGAGCCATGCGGGTGTGAGCAAAATGCGCCTCTAAAGAGTGTAAATAGCTCCTCTACTAATTCTAAGGAGTGTTGCGCGGTATTGAATCCCCATACTCTCCTCTACTAATTCTAAGGAGTGTAAATAGCTCCTATTGAAATACTGAAAACAAAACTTATAATTTTCCAATGTGTGACAAATTCAAAACTAGGTTTTTTGTAAGAGAAAAAACTGATTTTTCAATCAAGTGTGTAGGTGCAATTTCTCATGTAATTGACCAATCGAACTCATTAGGTTTAATCTCTTATGAGGTTAAAATCCAACAAAAACAAGTAGGAAAAAAATGGATTCAAGAGTAAAACGTACTGATCATACCTGGTTTCCTTTCACCCCTATTTTTAGTAAAAAACAATGCCTTCCCCGCCTCAGTTTTTAGTAAAAAACCAACAAATGTTAAATTGGGTTCGGAATAGAGAAAGAAGAAAGGAGATGGAAAAGCATTTTTACCTATCGAAGCTATGACGCGAAGAAAAATAAAAGGAAAAAAAAAGGAACAAAATGGATCTAGATGGGTTGGCATAGAATCATGAGAACATTAAGTGAGAACATAATGAAGAAAAACTATGGGGAACCAAAGTGGAAGAAAAACACTAAAACCTCTTAAAATCGTGAAAACATTAGAAGTGTTTTAATTGGACAGGATCTTGGAGAGGTTGGAGATAATAAATCTCGAGTCCTAATGTAACATGGCTCTTCCAAAGCAGTCAGACATGGCTAAAAATGGATCAAATATATCAATTCTATTTGTTATAAAAAAAAAACATAGATTAAAAAAAGAAAAAAAAAATCTTCAATTCCTTCTTTTAGTAGATAGATAGATAGATAATATATATTATATTAACATGTTGATGTGAATTAATATATTAAAGAAATTCGGTTTTAAACGAAAACCGAATTGAAATTTTCTGTTTCGTTCCATTTCAAATTTCGGTTTTAAAAATTTGTACTCATTGGTTCGGTTTTTAACCGAATAAACCGACTGCTCAGCCAATCTGTTGGTACCTTGAAGAGAAAGAAAACTCCGAGCCTTTTACGACTACTGCAGCAATAGCGTGAATAGAGAGTAAGGAGAGGAGCTGTTTGTTCATTATTTCGAACATGTTCAGAAACCAGTATGATACAGACGTGACGACATGGAGCCCAGCAGGACGGCTCTTTCAGGTCGAATACGCAATGGAGGCCGTCAAGCAAGGGTCGGCCGCAATTGGTCTCCGATCAAAGACACATGTCGTCTTGGCTAGCGTTAACAAGGCCAATTCAGAGCTTTCGTCGCACCAGAAGAAAATTTTCAAGATTGACGATCACATTGGTATCGCCATTGCTGGCCTCACTGCTGACGGTAGAGTCCTTTCTAGATATCTCAGATCCGAATGCATCAACTACAACTTCACTTACGAATCTCCTCTTCCGGTTGGGAGACTCGTAGTTCAGCTAGCCGACAAGGCGCAGGTGCACAACGAACCCTAGTTCTATTGTCCCCATTATTTACTTTTCATGGTTGAGTTTAATTTGATTAATGGAATATTGGAATCTTAGGTTTTGGAATGGGAATGGAAATGAATGCATGTTTCCTTTAGGGTTTTGGGTTGGAACATGTTCTGATGAATTGAAAAGGAAGTTAGATAAGATAATTATTGTTTTCTCTCTGTTTATTTGTTCAATTTGTTCGCATTGTGGTTGTGTATGATTTTTGACGGGTGACAGTAACACCATTATTGGATCAATGAAGTGAAAATTTAGGCTTAGTGCAAGAAGTAGCAAGGTTGAGATTTCTCTAGGTTAGGGCTTTAGCTGAGGGGATTAGGGAAATTTGGAAGCGGAAAATAGGATGGAGTATGCAATTCTTATTTCGTTTTCTTTATATGTTCTTTTTATTTCTTTCTTTTTTTTTTCTTTTTCTTTTTTGCGAGTGGGGGAGTTTGATTTTTGGTGTCAGTATTATTTGACGTCTGAAAGCTATAACTAGCTAGTTAATGTTTTTTGCCCCCTTCTTATCTGCAATTGAATACTTTTTGATCCATACCATATGCTTATTTCCGTTCTGTTTCACCAAGTTCTTTGGTGTCTTAATATTTTTTTTTGTTCCGCTATAGAGGGTAGAGAGATCCTCCACAAAGTTCAGTGATATACTCAAAAAACAGAAACAAAAGGCATGACATTATCTTGAACTCGTTAGACATACCTCAAAATAACCACATTTTAGTCACTCCTTCCTGAATCAATCTCCTGGTAAGTTGGCAAATTTGGGCAGTCCAGCCTAGTAGTTTGAATTCTTTAGCTATAATCAGTTTGTGTTTAAAATGTCAGAGTTATTGATTTAGTCATTCAGGAGTTATTGTGTTTTTGTAACGATAGTGGAAAGCATGGAGACTGATATTGAAATGATATTCAAGTGAATTTTCTGCATATAATGTCTATGGTGAGTGATTCCTATAAAAACTAGTGGTTTTAGGTTCCAGTTGAGTGATTCTTTGTATTCTCCCTCTTTTTTCTGTCTCCATCTTCTCTCAAATTCTGTAAACAACCATTGCAGTCATCAAAAGCCCTAAGATTCGTTATCAGAGGAGCTCATTCAACAACCCTAAAGGTCTAAAACTGATATAGGTTTTACTTTTATTTTTTCAAGTTTACATTAAAGCCTGTAATTTTCCTGTTTCAGCAATTTGTTGTCATTTGTGCCAAACAATTTCTGAATTTTCTCATTCTTGGATACCCCTCATAAACCTTTATTTAATTATACAATGTTTTATCTTAGAAATCCACCTAAAACTCTAGATTCTATGTTTTCTTAAGTTTTCTTTACAACCCAAAATTTTTGCCTTTTTTTTATGCAATATGTACTCTGAACCACACCAAACTTGGTTGACCTGTACATCTATATAGGACAAATGTATATACTATGTACAAAATTTCAAACCTATACCCATTTTCCCCAATTCAAAACTTTTCACACTTTTTGGACAAACCTTTAATTGTTGTAGTTAAGCTCTGAGATCTCTAATTCTCTACCTCTATTCTTGAAAATTGAAATCATCCCCAAGCCCTATTCTAGCTAATTATTTCTTTCCTAGGTCATTCTAATCCTACAACAGTTTGAGACCAAAGCAGGTGGTCCTACATCAATTGGTAGCAAAGCTATCAGTCCTACATCACTCACACAATGAGGTGCCTAATACCAAGGACATGAGTGTTGCATACCTCCATTGAAGTAGGTTTCTCATCACTGGGTTCAGTTAAAGATTGGATTTTTCTTTTTCTTTTTTTGTATTTTTGCTTCAATATGGGTTTTAGTTAGTTTGGGCTAATCCTCTTTTTGGCATCATATTTAGTATTTTAAAATCTTTTTGATTTTATTTTTTATGTTCATGTGCTTTTGTTTTCAATTATGTTTTTTTTTTGGCTTTGTATACATGACTTCTATGCCCTTCCATTATAAAATGGCATCTAAGCATCTGCTTTCATCTATTTAAATAAGAAGGTAAAACTTAATTGAGGCAATTTTTATATCTTATTTTTATGTCAATTAAATATTTTTCCCCGTATAACGAATTAGTTCTTATTGCCATGTGTATTTTTATAGATCTTCCCATTTTAGTTAATGTTTCTATAAGGATAATTGAGGCCAATGATGTTTAAGCCTCAAACATCGAGCAGTATTGCATGGACTTGGGCATAGGAGTTGGAACCTGACGTGTCGAGGAGTCCAATTCAGTGTGAACTCAAAAAAGTAGGATTTATGGACACACTTCACATAAATAATATTTTATTATATATTTAAATATTATGATTTCTAATATTATTTTTAAAATAATAGAACTATAAGTAATTAATGTTTTTAAGTAATTAATATTATTTCTAATATTTCACATAAATAATATTTTTCATTGTTTTCCTAGTTTTGATGTGTGTATTACATAAAAAAACTCCAATAATTTTCAAGGTGCTAAGGTGAAAATAGAGGGGCAAAAAATCTAGGAACTTATTGAGGTACTCTTAAAGAAGGAATCATAATTTTCAAGGTGCTAAGGTGAGGCTAGGTGACAATGGGCGCCTTGTCACCTAGTTGCCTCGTGGGCATCTAGACATCACCTAGGCGATGGATTCTTGTAAGTCAAAAACATATATCCTAGGGTAGTTCCCTAGGTTCCATAAACATATTTCCTTAATAATTATCCCTAATATTTTTTTTTTTTGAGAAAGGTAAAGAATTTATTTAGAACATAAAAGAGAGTTACAACAAGGCCCAAACCACTAATACTGCCTGGGCCTAATACAGATTACAAGCCCATCCATGGTTTAGAACAAAACAAAAGAGATACATTCTGGTTTTTAAATTCCTCATTCATCGACACCTAGGAACATAGCTTGCCCATGGCTCTCTGCACTACTTCATCCGAGCTTTTGAATTGACCACAGAATATTCTGTTATTTCTTTCAGTCCAAATGGACCATAGCACAGCTAGCGGAATGGTACTCCAAACAAGCTTTCCTTTCTTGCTGAGACCCTCAATTCTCCAATACATCAGCAACTCCTTCACAGATTTTGGCATAGTCCAGCTAATATCCAAAACCTTTAGAAAATGCCCCCAGACCAAAGAAGAAACTGGACAATGGATACACAAGTGCTCTGTAGTTTCTGCAAGGTTTCCACACAAACCACAGGAGAGGTCCAGAATCTGAATACCACATCTCTTCAGGTTAGTCTTGGTCAGACATTTATCAAGAGCCATTGTCCAGACTAGGAAATTGATCTTGGAGGGACTAGTTGGATTTCAAATCTGCCTGGCAGGGAAGTTCTCCTGACCTGATCTGCACAACTTAAGAAACAGGGATTTAACTGAGAAGCTACCATCTGCATTCCACTTCTAAACCCATTCATCCTCTAAACTCAAATCAATCCTCTGATTTTGAAGCAGCCCCGACAATACCACATACTCTTCCACCTCCCAATCAAACAAACTTCTCCTACACAGAGGAGTCCAAATAGTGGAGTCACCAGAAATGCCAAAGTTACCAGCAACTGAAGAATCTTGATTCATAGAAATTTGGAACAGAAGGGGAAAAGCATCAGCCAAGGAACCCTTTGAACACTAGGGATCCTTCCAAAATTTGATTCTATCCCCCTTACCAACCTTAAATCTGATCCCATCCAGGAAGAAAGGAATGTTCTTCAAGATACCTGCCCAGAGAGATTTACCCCCATTTGGATGAGGCTTCTTAGATCTACAATCACCCCATACCACTCCATATTTTGCCACAATAAGACTTCACCACGCATTCCTCTCAAAAGAAAATCGCCATAACCATTTACTAAGAAGGGCAGAATTAAGTTCCTTCAACTTTCTTATTCTCAGCCCACCAACTTCCTTAGGAAGGTACACTTGCTCCCACTTTACAATGTGAATCTTCTTTTCATCATCCCAACCCCTCCATAAGAAATTCCTTTGGAGTTGCTCCAGCCTATTTGCAATTTTGTTTGGGATGGGGAAAAGAGATAGGAAATAAGTAGGGAGGTTGGAAAGGGTGCTCTAAATCAATGTAACCCTACCTCCAAAAGATAGATATTTTGCCTTCCAAGAGGCCAGTTTCTTCTCCATTCTCTCAATAATTGAGCACCAGATTGAGGAGGAAGAGTATTTGGCCCCGAGAGGCAGTCCCAAATACTTTAACGGGAGGAAATCAGTTTGACAAGCCATCACTTTTGTACATTCTTCTAAATTTGAAACATGGCCCACTGGGATGATCTTACTTTTACTCATGTTAACTTTGAGATCAGACACCACTTCAAACCAGCTCAGAATCCCAAGCACTGAATCCAATTGAGTCATAGAAGCATCCACAAAACATAGGGTATCATATCCAAATTGGAGGGTATTGACTTTCTCCTTTCCAGGGGAGATTGCAAACCCATTCCATAAACCGGATTCTGCTGCCTTCTTGCTAAAAAGTGTGAAAATTTCCATGATACAGATGAACAACAAAGGGGACAGAGGATCTCCCTGCCTCAGACCCCAAGAGCTACCAAAAAACCCTGTCGATTGACCGTTAATTAGGATTGAAAATTTTGGGGTCTTGATACAAACTCTGATCCAGTTTCTCCATTTCTGTCCAAAATTCATACTATCCAACACACGATCTAGACAATTCTAGTTGATGAAGTCATAAGCTTTCTCAATATCAAGTTTACAAATCACACCTGGGCTTCCCTCTATTTTTTTGGAACCAATTAACTCATTGGCAATTAGAATTGAGTCTACCATCTGCCTCCCTGGCACAAAAGCACTCTGGTTATTGGAGATTACACTGCCTAACACCCCTTTCATAAGAAAAGTTATAGAAAACCAACACATTCATGATGGTTCAACCCTTATTTTTTATTAGACAAAATTTTAAGTTCTTCCTTACTTATTGGTTCAAGTTTTGAAGTCTCTGAGGTTCAATACAGTAGTTAGCAATGCTTGTGTTGATTAAATCCTAACAAATAAGAAAATAATTAAAAGAAACTAGTATATAAACACACAATATGAATATTTTAGTTTAATAATGTATATTTTATAATTATAATCTCAAAATATTAAGAACATAAAAATATTTTATAACACAATATACAAAACTACTTGGCAATTAGGCGAGGTGAGCCTCCATGGGCGCCTTTTCGCCTAGGCATTGCCTTGACAACTATGGAAGGAATTGCAAAAGGAAAGAATGGGCAAGGAAAGTGAGGGAGTTAAGGTTTTTGAGGCAGGAACAAAGTTAGAGGATGACAGAGGAGAAAATAGAGAGGAAGTGTAGAAACTAGTAGGGAGGATTCAATGGTAGATTTTGTAGGAAAGTTTGGCTATAAATTGAAGGATCCAAATGACCTGAAAACTTTCTTGAGTAAGAAGAAGGTTGAGAGTAAAATTTGAGTTGACCTCATTTTTATACAAAGAGACAGAGAAAAGGGATGAGGAAATCAATTCTCTCTCCAATTTGATCTGTCTCATGAATCAAGTCTATTGGGATTTGTCCAAGCTAGACAATAGGATCTGGGTTCCCTAGCCCAAAGGGACCTTCTCTTGTGCTTCTTTTTTTAAGTCCCTTTGTCAATTTTCCTCTCAACAGGTTTTCCCTTCAAAGGAAATTTGGTGTAAGCCGGTTCCCCCAAAGATAACGGCTTTTTGTTCGGTAGCGTATCATGGGAAAGTGAACACTTTAGATAACCTACAAAAGAGAAGGCATTTTCTTTGTATTTCACCCAATTGGTGTACTCTCTGTAGAACTCATGGGGAGGACTGTCACCACCTACTAATGTCATGTCCTTTTTTTGCATAATTATGGGATTGGCTCTTCTTGTTATTTGGGTGCAGGTGGAACATGCCAGCAAAAGTGTGGATGATCTTTAACCCTTCTACCTTCAGTTGGCCCAAAAAAAGAGGGAGAATCATGTGGAGATGTGCTAGAGCAGTCTTGCTATAGTCAATTTGGGAAGAAAGGAATGCCAGAATCTTGCAAGACAAGAAGAGGAGCAGCCAAGATCTAAAAGATTGTGTGTTGAATAGGGAAATCCACTGGCTAAAGACTTTGGAACTTTTCCATCACTTTTCCTTTTCAAACTTATTGAGAAATTGGTTAGCAGTAGCAAGGTGCTCTTCTAAGAAGACTAAGGCAATTACAAGATGGATCCCACCGCCCGAAGGTTCAATGAAACTGAATTTTGATGGGAGCAATCAGGGCAATCCAGGGCACTTTGGAATGGGGGGGGGGGGTCTTGAGAAATGAGGCTGGTGATATTGTACTTCTCTATTCAAGTCCATTGGGATTTGGGATTCAGTCAGAGCAGAACTATTAGCAGCCATACAAGGAGTGAAACTTGTAAATCAATTAGGTGTAAGACAACTTGTTATCAAAGGAGACTCCAAGGTGGTGGTGGGGTGGTTGCAGAACCTTGAGGGGTGCTACAGAAATGAAGTCAAAAAATTTAAGTGGTTGACAAGGAATATGTTTGTTAGTACACAATGGGTGGGGAGATCAGCAAATGCTTTGGCTGATGGCTTAGCTAAGCAAGGGGCAAATAGGGAAGTCTTGTTTTAGGCTCGGCTGTAATGCTTGCCTTTTCCTTCACAGTTTCTTTGTAATCAGTTGAGACAGGCTGCAGCTCGCGCCTCTCCACGAGCTGTTGTATGGGTTCTCCGTTATCTTTTGAAGTAATAAAATTATCTTCATTCATAAAAAAAAAGAAGGTTGAGAGTAAAATGAGGAAGAGGAAATTGAGTGAAGCCAAAAGGTTGAAGTTGGATGTGGAAGGAGACAGAAGTTTAGTAAAAGAAGAGAAAGGAGAAAAGGGAATAAGTAGGAGGGTAAAATTGAAGTTATTTAAAAATGAAAATAACAAGTTGGGATGTAAGAGGTACAGCGAGCGCAAGGCATAGTTTTCTAGGCGCCAAGGTGAACCTAGGCAACAAGAGAATGCTTGGTCGCCTAGGCACCCGCTTGGGTGTCGCTTAATGTTCAAAAAAGGATAGAACAATAAGAGGTTGAGCCCCTGTTTCTGTCGTAGAAATATTAGTAAAAGAAGGGGCGTAGTCCTTGTTCTTGTCATAGAAAAAAGAAAGCATGAATAAAATCCTTAGAAAGGATGGAGAAGAAAGGGTGGAGCCCCTATTTTTGTTCTAGAAGAAGAAGAAAAAGAAAAAGAAGAGCCTCTACCCTATTTTTATTCCAAAAAATAAAAAGAAGGGGAAGAGATCCTACTTTTGTTCTAGGGGTGGAGTCGAGCCACTATTTACTCCAAAAGAAAAGAAGGGGTGGAGCCCCTATTTTTGTTCCAAAAAGAGAAGAAGAAGAAGAAGAAGAAGAAGAAGAAGAAGGGGCGGAGCCCCTGTTTTTGATCCACAAAAAAAATAAAGGAAAAAGAAGGGGTAGAGCCCTTGCTTTTGTTCCAAAAAAAAAAGAAAAAGAAGTGGTGGAACCCCTGCTTTGGTTCAAAAAAAAAAAAGAAAAATCCAAAAGAAGAAGGGGTGGAGCATACCTTCTATGGTTGTTCATTTTCCTTGTTTCTTCAAAGACTTTGAATGAACAACTATCCTCGTTTCTTCAGTCTACGAATAACTATCATCGAATAGCTATCAAAACCCTAGCGAAATAAGAAACCAATAAAAACATATTATTTTATGAAAGAAATAAAAAGAATGGTTTAGTGTATCTTAATTATCATAATATTATAAGCTCAAAATATAAAAAATATAAGAAACTTAAAGAATTTATATATAAATGTCATGGATGGCGAGGTAAGCCCCAAAAAGTGCCTAAATGCCTAGGTGCCTGCTTGGGCATTGCCTTGATAACTATGGAATGAGGAAAAGATCATTCATAAAGGAGATGATTAGGAAAGCAAACCCAGATGTGGTCCTAATTCAAGAATCTAAATTGGCAGAATTTGATAATGGATGGGCCAAAAATATTTGGAAGGCTAGGGGATTAAGGCAATGGTACCATCTTGGAGATCCTTAGCCTCAGGGGGCTTAGTGACTTTGTTGAAAAGTGAAGTGCTCATAGGCATTGAAGAACTTGTTAGTAATTTCTCAGTGTCCATTAAATTTAGACAAGTGGAGGATGGTTTTGAGTGGGTGCTAACAGATTTATATGGTCCCAATGGTTATAGGGAGAGAAATGAAATGTGGAAAGAACTAGAGGATATTAGAGGGTTATGGGAAGGGCCTTGGTGCATAGGAAGTGATTTCAATGTAATTAGATTCACAAAGGAAACCAATAATTTGAGGCAGGGAGTAACGACAAGCATGAGGAAGTTTAATCAATTTGTGAGTACATTTGAGCTTAAGTAAGTTCCCTTGCTACACAATAATTTTATTTACTCCAATCTCCAAATATCCCAATTTGCTCTAAATTGGACAGGTTCCTCTTCTCATTGGATTGGGAAGAGCATTGGGGAGGTGTAGTGTCCAAATCTTTGCCTAGAGTAACTTCTGACCATTGGCAAATTCTGATTTATAAGGAGGATTTGAGAAGTGTGGGCTCATCTCCTTTCAAATTCGAAAATGTGTGGTTTTGCCATCTAGGTTTTATAAAGAGGGTAAAGGAATGGTGGGAGGATAGTGACCCCAAAGTTAAATGGCAAGGAATGAGATTCCATAAGAAACTCTATATGTTGAAAATTAAAATTAAAGAATGTAACATCATGGATTTTGGGTGACTCGAAGAAAGAAAGCAAATAGTGATTGAGCAGGTTGAGGAAATAGATTTGAAAGAAGGTTCTTTTGAGGATAGTGATAAGGAGCAAAGATGGTCTCTGAGGAGAAATAGTTGGAGGACATTATATTCCAAAAGGAAATAAGTTGGAGACAAAAATCAAGGCATAAAAAGGTAAAGGAGGGAGATAGGAATACAAAGAATACAAAGTTTTTCGTGTAGTAGCAAATGGGAGAAGGAAAAAATTTATCCCAAAGTTAGAGGTGGGGGTGAAACTCTCATGTGACAAGATGAGATAGTCGAGGTGTTTGTGGATCACTTTAAGTCAATATTTAGAAGGCCCCTAGGTGGTAGAGTGTTGGTAGAAGGATTGGAGTGGCCAAGTTTAGTGGTGGAGGTCAAGGAGTGATTAGAAAGAAAATTTGAATAGGAGGAAATAAAGGAAGCAGTCTTTTCTATGGATAGATCAAAACCTCCAGGGCCGAATGGGTTTACAATGGCATTCTATCAAGATTGTTGGGATATCTTGAAGGAGGACATTTATCTAGTCTTCAATGAGTTTTACAAAAGAGGAGTCATTAATCCAGGGCTTAATTCCACCTTTATTGCTTTGATACCCAAGAAGAGTGATGTTGTCTATCCAAGCGATTTTAGACCAATTAGTTTGGTGAATAGTCTGTATAAGATTATAGAAAAAGTGTTGTTTCTTAGGATTAGGCAAGCCTTTTCCACCATTTCACCTAATTAAGGGGCTTTTGTGAAAGGGAGATATTTGTTATGAAAAGAAGGCTTTGAAATAAAGAAACAAGGTGGCAAATCAAGGTTCGATGCATAATATTTGTTTTTGTTGAAGATTAATTAGTTTTATGATGTTTTTCTGAGTAGATGTTTTATGTTAGTTGTTAGATAGGAGGTGGGGACCACAGTAGTTATGTGAGTC